CCATTCATCTTCAGGGATGGTCAGGATGGCTTCGTGGACCCGTTCCACCGCAGAGGTGCACCCCACCCCGCCGCGCAGGATGCGCAACATGGCATCGAAGTCCCAGCACTGCCTCTGGGTAGAACTGGCCTCGAAGCGGTAGCTGCATTCCATGAAGACGGGGCGGTGGTCCCTGTCGTCCAGGGTATTCACGGGCTGGAGCCGCCTCCCCGCAGGTCGAAGAACACGGCAGACTCGGACGTGAGGAAGCAAGCCCGTCGGAGCGTGGATAAAGTCTATCCGCGACGTGTGTCCCAGTGGCCCGTGAAATGTTGGCCCAGCTGGGTAGTGCGTGTTGATCGCGCTCAGCGCCGTGTCCCTCAGAACCTGGTGCCAATGCTTGCCAGCGAAGTGCTCCAACTCAGCACCACAAGGGCCCACGTGTGCGTCGGCTTCCCGTTCCCAGTCCCAATCGGCTCCGTGTGTACTGGTGTCCCGTGGGGCCGTGACGCACTCGCCGTCCAGCGTGTCGTCTGCGCAGAAGCCCAGTTGGTCATTCAAATCGATGCCGACAAACGGTGTGCACCTGGAGCCCACTCCGTTGATGACCGACTTCGCCCAGTTGCAAAGTCCCAGCACGACGTTCCGATACTGTGTACGTCCGCCGCGGAGCGACGGAAGAGTGGGGAAGTAGAGCACCATGAATAAAACGTCCGAGGTCTGTGATTTTAAACGTACTGCTCCGCCACGTCCACTTAGGAAACTGGGCGGCGTGAAAATCTTACGAATGAAGTTCCTCGGGAAGCGCCTCTGGTGGAGGAAGATCGACACCCCGCAACTCTTGTTGGAGGCCCTCGTCCACCCGAAACTCAGTTCCCAATGATAAGGATGAAGGAAGAGTGAGTGTGTGTCCTCTGTCTGGCGACGGGAGGTACCTGGCAGCATGATAGCTCCAATATTTTTGAATTCGTCAGAGATCTCCGATACCCGCGTAGCCCCCGTCAGGAACATGGGATTATAGACGCACGTCCGAAGTGTGAATGTGTTGCCATCTTCAGCGTGGGGGCGGGTCCTCTCCATCACCAGGGCGCCAAGCACGCCCAGCTGCAGGAAGGCGAAGGCGCGCACGGCGAGGAGCCAGCGCCTCGCGCGAGGGGCCCCGGCCCCCTCTCTCATGGGCGAGGAGAGCCCCTCGAGGGAGAAGCCATGCCGCTGAAACACCTGACTTTGTAAGGAAGTGTACTGAAGTGCCGCGGGAAAGGGGGGTGGTCTGGGCCGCTGCAGCGGCTGGAGGAGAAGGAGGAGGAGGAGGATGATGAAAAGGAGGAGGAGGAGAAGGAGCGATGCCATGAGCTTGGTTGTGGCCGCGCCCCGCGCAGGGGCGGGCCGGCCGCGCCAGCCGCCCCTTTCGCGCGCCGCGCGGTGCCGCCGCATGAGCGACGATTCGCGCGCGTGCCGCAGCGCGCCGGGCCCGACCGCCGAGGGCTGCGGGCCTCGAGCGCCAGTACGAAGAGCCTCGTGGCGTGCGCCGGGAGGTCGAGCTCTGATGGGCCCGTTTTTCACCACCACCACCATAAGTTGGAGGAGGGAAGGAGGTGGAGGTGGAGGTGGAGTTGGAGGTGGAGGTGATGGAGGAGGAGGAGGAGGAGGAGGAGGAGGAGGACGCACTCCCCCTCCAATTTATGGTGGTGGTGGTGGAAAACAGGCCCATCAAGATCGACTTCCCAAAGGCATCCGACCACAGCCACGACTGAGAGGACTGCGTGCTTTTTCTGAGCATTTTCTGAGGATGGAGGGCTCAGGGTGTAATCCATGTGGGCTTCTGCACCTCGAAAGTAAGTCCGTCTTTTGACTCACCGATTGCAGATTCAAGCCTCGAAAACCCATCGAAACTGCATTTCAGATTTCACCCTTCGCCCTCCACCCAAAGAGAATGCTTGGTTATTGGAAGTCGGGTTCGGCTTGCAAGCAGCTTACGACCAAACCAGATCTCCTAGACCTGCATGTTCTCAGAAGTCGAGTTCGATTTTTCCCCTCACCCCCCCCCCCAAAAAAAACACACACACACACACACACACACGCCAAAAACGAACATAACCGCGTGTGTGGGGAAGTCGAACTCGATTTACAAAACACCTAGTCCTCCCAGGCCGCCTTGCGAGAGCTGCGGGCTTCGAGCGCCAGCGCGAAGAAGCCCACAGCGGATGCCGATGTTTTTCTCGAAGCAGTTGGCCCGCCGCAGACGCCTCGACACTGTGTTGAAAAGCAAAGTGGGCGACGAAAACAAGCGGGTCATAAGTACGATGGCGTGGCGACCGTACGGGGTCGCTTACGCGGGCCGCCAGCGAGGCGGGCTCACGCGCAACCTTACGCGGGCAATTTGCGCGCGAATGTCGGCGCAGTCGACCCCGCTTTCTTGCAACGGTCATGTGCAACTGGGCCCCGTGAGCTCGCCTACGGCAGATACGTACGACAAGAAATCATGGTATGAGAAGTCTTGGGGCACTCCTGCCGTCGATCT